GGAGAAATGCGGTTTTTCACATCCATACGGGACGGCGTACGGGGGGGGTGGGAGAAGGGAGAGAGGGAAGGAAGGAAGGAAGGAAGGAGAGAGAGGGGGAGGAAGAGGAGGAGAACAAGAAGTGGTGGTGGTGTATTTACTTCTCGATAATGTAGGCACCGCTTTCCTGTCCAAGAGTGCTGGAGCAACCAAGTCTGACGAAGTTGGGGGCGGCGTTCTGGCAGGCACTGACGAGAACCATCAAGAAATAATAATCCATGTCGCCGCAATCGTGGACGTGAAATCCTCCTTCGGGGGGAAGCTTTCTCGTTTGGATGGGGTTCAACTGGTTGAGCACGATGCCTCAAGAAAACCCTTCGACTCGGTAGGTGATTTTTCCCTCTTTCCACCGTCCGCCCAGGTCCCCAATTCTAACTCATTAGTCTCGACAGACAGGATGCTACCCGGGATCCGCCTTTAGCTTCTGGCCACTACGATGACTGATCTCCGTCACCTAGGGAAATACCTCGCGGTTCTCACGATGATTTCCACCGGAGATGTTTGCAACAAGGCGAGATAAGACAAGGCCGATTAGTGGTAGTTAGCTACCCGGATACCTTCTCCACGAAGGCATCGAAGCTTCTTCGGCCTAGGAGGGCCGACGAAGGACGAGCACACGAGGTCTGGGTAATCTTATTAAGACTAGAATGGACTTTGACACGCGCATGCACACCGCAGAAACAACCCCCCCTCTCCTTTCTCCCTGGGTCAATTGTTGACCAAGGAGGAAAACCGAGTCTCTCGATCCCCGGCGGATTACTTGGTGTGAAGTAATGTATCGGGAAAAAACAGGTTCACGATGAACGAAAAAGAAAAAGAAAAAAAAAAGGAAAAAAAGAAGAGACAATGGGTTCCTTCCCAACCAAGGTGCTTCAGGGATTTCGCGATTCGAGATATTTTTTTCACTCCTTTCCAACAATTTTCTCGAACGTACAAACTTTATGGACTTATCGGGGGAGAGATTCTCAATTCGTGCGTTCTGTGTTCGCCCCGCCGGAGTTACTATTAGCGGCGGCATGCGTATCGCGAGTTCTGATCCAGGACTATCAGTTTTCTTCTCTCTCTCTCTCTCTCTCTCTCTCTCTCTCTCTCTCTCTCTCTCCCTCTCTCCCCACACACTCCCAGTTGGCGAGTCCAATTGGGGGAAAAGTGGAGAACGACTTACATTTATACAAAGATTATCTTCCGGTAAGCTTCCCTCTTCAACAGTTGAGCTAAAGATAAATCGGGAGGAGTCGTTAGCTCATAATTGATTTAGAAATCCTGGAATTGGACTTGCTGTGCAAGCAGAAACGATTTCCGAAGCCTGGAAAAATGTCCTTGGGAAAGGAAAGGACCTGGTCCCCTTCTCACAAGGATTGGATTGGTGTTATCCTGAACAGACAACGCGACTGGTCCCCTTAGGTTTTCTCATTATTCGGACGACGCCAAAAATAGTTTAACCCCCGCTATATTTTTTCTGTACCACTCTCCCTCCCCCAGTTATGGGCGCGTCATTTTCCCCGTTCTTTAGCGCGGCGGTTTCCTGCGAAGTGAGGAGAGGGAGGAGGAAGGTCATCATATGTACTTGGACCATTTTCGAGATGCTTGAAGATGCCCTGGCATTTGCTGGCATCAACATTGCCTATGGGTCGCTGGTGACTGCGATGGTTGCCCCTTTCCTCGTGTGACGAGCGATCTTGGTGGTCTACGTTTTTGTCAACCTTGTAGGTGGTCATCGACGGGACAAATGTTTTAGGTATCTCGGTGCGCGGTAATTTCCCATCACTGATAATTTTCTGGCAGAATTGGTGTGTTCGATGGGCAAGGGTGCCAGAGCGAGTTGAGTGCGGGGAAGTGGTGAGGTGGCCAACACCACCAATTGCAATAAATGTTACACAATGCTAAAGTATCCAGGACTCAACGTTCGGGAACCACCCGGGTTCAGGCACCGAATTCTTCGAACAGGTACCAATGCCATTGGGAGCCTGCCCCGCACCAAAAACCGCGCCGCTGGGGTGCTTCATGCAGTATGAGTTACAACTGATACCCCACACCATTGTTATTGCTGTGGGGTGTCAAGAGTGGGGTTTTGTCTATTGGGGATGTGCAGCTGTGGGTTGGGTTTTCAGCGGACGCGTTGCAGATCGTCAGGATAAGCTCGTGTCGTTGACATTCTTCATGGGATGTGAGGTTACTTGTTACAACTGTGGGGGAGGGGGAGCTGTTTTTCGCTATTTGAGAGAAGGGATTTGAAGCAGTAATCCCGCAGTACGGGGCTTGCAGAGCACAGCTCTTTCCATGGACCATTGAATTATTGGTATCTGGAGCTGGTCTCCACTCTACCAATCCTTCTGTTCGATAAATGGAATAGCGCTCTGGGATAGGTAAAAGTAAGTTTTGTTCTTTCTTTCTTTTCTTCTTCCTTTCCCTTCAGTTGTACCCCCACGACCGCCCCCCACATATCTTGAGACATGGTGTCGAAAGTCGTGAAAGTTGATAGGGCTGAGATAACAAAGCCCCTCCAATAGCGATACCACACGTTCGGGGAAAAGAGAATCCACTCTGAATTAGACCTGGGTAAACTGGTTTATGTTCCATCATATACAGGTTTCTAGGTCGGAGATTTGGGCGATGAGTCTTTTTTTTTTTCCCGTTACATTTCACATTTCCCCTTCTACTACTGGTGGGGGGAGAATGGGAAATGAAGGGATAAAAAAAGAAACGGAAAGAAGAAACTCAAGTCTTATTTTTTTTCTTTCTAATGTACTGGTACCTCGCCTGTTTGGGGGTTTCTTTTCTTTCCAGTCTTTATGGCAGTGAATAGAGAAGAAGCGAATACGGGAGATCTGGGTTTGTGAAATGGCACAAGGTGTAATGCTCAAGATTCGATAACCAAAATTCTCCTTTTTGTCGTATCATATAAGGAAGGAAAAATTCTCCTATCATACTGCTGCATTACAATACCAGCTTTGAGATGGAACACACTATGGGGAGGTCTGGGAATAGAGACGGAGCATCGGGAGCGGGAAAAAAAGAAAAAAGAAAAAAGGGTAGTGCTTGGCATTCTACTCGTACATTCTTTCCGGTACCTCTGGACATTCTGTTACCAGGAGTGAGTATGGGCGGTAGTAATGCGAATGCAGGTCGGCTTCGAGTGAGTACTCAACGATCGGTTTGCTGCGGCGTTCCGCTGTTACGTCTCTTGATTCACATGGTACGGGAGTGGCTGTGACGGGAAATACTGAAGCAGCGTGCTTAGGCTTGCTGTTACCTCTCTTAATTCACATGGTACGGGAGTGGCTATGATGGGAGTACTGAAGCGGTGTGCTTAGACATGGTGGGGGGGGATCGACTTGGTAGTTTACTTATTGGCATTGGTTTTCTCACCAACCATGGGAGGTTGAAATGTGTGGGTTGGGTGGGATTCGCTGAGCCTGTAGCGTCGGTGGCTAGGACGGCGGTTCGGGGATATTCCAATATCCCGTCCATCTTCAGGCTTGATTTTAGGTAAGAATTGTTATTCGTGATTCTTGGATGTTTTGGGCAATAACAGGGATTTTCAGGTTTTGATTCCGGGGGGTTGTCATCGTTCGTAACTCAGCTTTACTTTTCTACCTTACAAGCCAAGACAGCGATCCAATCTCCATCCTCTCACTTTCGTTTTGTCCAAACCTTTAATAAGGTAGCTGAGTGCGAAAATGGGATTTCCCCACAAAGCCAGTGGAGCAGTACAGGGCAGATTCTGTGAGAGGCCTCACGTGCCGAATGTGGTCTAAGTATTTAATAGGGCGAATATTTCTTTCTCGATTCCAGTTCTTCAAACAATTCGGGAATCATCTTTTAACCACCCCCTTTTTCCTTCTACTCTTCCCTCTTCTACCACTTATTACTTCTCTGATATCTTAAGGTATCGCGCAACTCTGGTACACTTGTCGCACCTACCCTCGGTTTAGTCTAACACCCAACACCGGATTTTTTCGAAATGACCAAGGCCCAGTCAGCGGTTAGTTCTATCGTACCTCTGTCCGCTGGTACCGCAACGGTAAAAATCAGTATTGTTATCACCAACAATGCCTCTCGTGGATCAACGGAAAGTCACTCACAAGGACCAATGCAAGGTTAGCCGCCACATTCCTTCCCCCGTAGCCATCGTCTCCCGACGTAAATGTCGTGCGAACTAACAATTAGCGCCGATTACCTCAAAAGAGGCGCAATCCCCGGCAGATTTCGAAGACATTAGACAATGGGCACTTGGCCTTGACCCTAAGCCGAGCGTTGGGCGGCAGAGGAGGATTGCGGAAGGATTGCGCCAGACCGCTGCGCTCGCTCGCGCTCGAGATGGCCTTCGGGGTGGTGACAATGGGGATGGGCAGCAGGCCTGTTGTCCGGTCACTGGGGGGTGCTGTGGTGAGAAAGGCTATGGGCCACATGGGGTTCACAGTGCCTGTGCAGCGTTAGATATCTCGACGTATTGCGAGTAACTTGTCTTGTGCTTCATGGTACTGATCGGGGGGTCATATTATTGATATGTGACTGGGGGGATGGTGTTCGTTTTCATCTCGTTTTTCTCTTATTTTCACAGATCCTCACTTTCTTTTCTTTTCCGACGCTCTTTTGAAGTTATCTTGGGGGTGGTTGTGTAGAAGTAAACATGCCGGTAATCTCTTGGCCATTATTTCACTACCAAATGCTTGGGCTTGGATGGAGTGGGTATGGCAGCAAACTAACTTACCCGCAATGTGAAATCTTGGAAGGAGCGCGCTTGAACTGTTGTGATTGTTCGAATGTTGATATTTTTGGATAGGAAATAGGTGTTCTGGATTTCACAGGCGTTGCGGCGGGGGGCTCACATTGTATTGTGTTGCAGTCCCTGGTACAGCATCTGTACTGTGCACGATCAATCACTCGGGGGACTCATAGACCTTGAACCAAGCCATCGAACCCGCAGTCGGAATGGTCAAATTTCTCGCACGCCCATCAGCAACACACACCAGTGTCAGCAGCAACTGGCGATGGCCTCCGATCTGTCATACTATGATTTGGTTCGATCTCTGATGCCCGCTTCCTCTTCTGCCCCATACAGCGAGCAGATCCAACCTACCGGATCGGGGCCCCTGCGGAGCTCTCAGGCTTCAGTGCTCATGACAAAGTGTCTCTAATGGTCGTACTTCAGATCGGAATATTTTCCTAGCACTCGAGAATGTCAGCTCCAAGACCCCCGCAATGCTAAGCTCGTCAACAAATTGCTCGCGTGTCGATGAGGCGAAGGGGGCAAGGGGGGTATCGGATTTCACTGGGGCCCCAACGAGATCCCCTGCTCGCGGAGCCTCAATCTCAAGTGGTGTCACGCGCCCAGATATGATATAGGTACCGTCCTACATCTGGTGTTAATGTTTCTCTATGTGTGCTCTGGTTTATATATCGAAGAATCGAGTCGGAAGTCCCGAAGGAGTCGAAGCTTGGCACTGGCTTCCAACCAAGAGGTCCGTACGTGGAATACGCCATGCACCGTTCGGTGAGCATTGATGAATGGAATTGTGGGAGCACCAGTTTGTCCTGCCCTTTGGGAACTCCCTGCAGGTTTCTCGCCGAAAGTCGGAGCACACGATGTACCTCAGTTGCTTTGACGGCCTCTAATTTGCGCATTTCGATCTTGATAATTGCTTTTTATGAGCACTCCGATGGTAGCCTAGGATCGTTGAAGTATCGGCCCTGTCAAGCACCAGGGCGACAACAAGCCGCCGTGGCCAGACCACTAAACCGGGCGGTTTCGGGATTTATTTATAACTTCATATTTCAACATATTAAGTTTCGAGCCATTGTGATCCGACGCCTGGTTTTTTTGCTTTAAATTGTGCTTCTAGGGAGGCAAGGGTAGCCCAGTGACCGGAACTCAGAGTGGAAAAGAGTGGAACGTCTTGCAGTGTTGGTTACAGGACAGTCACGATAGCTTCGACGCCGGAAAATTGTTGCGGCATTGCGGAACGGAATTGCTCGTCCACAGCCTTTCCGTCTCGGTATATGGTGACCGATCGTTGTCGGTACCACGGAATATCTTTCACCAGCGATTTGCCTCTGGCGCAATTTGGTTGGCTTGGAGACGGAAGGTCGAGTAAGGGCGGGAACGCGGATTGGAGGCTGCCCCCCCCCCCGGGTGACAGGTCACAATTTGGCTTGCGTTGTGGCAAGTTGGGGCATTCCTGCCGTGGCTACTCGAGTGGCAGGATCTTCACCTGTTGGTGCGTTCTGGGAAAAATTGATGGATTAGTTAGTCAGGTTCAGCCTGTCTAAGATAACCATTTTCACAATTGCAGTTTGGGCTGGATACAGTAGGTGACGGGTCCTTTTTTGCCTTTTTCTATTTTATTATTATTACGGCTGGGAAGCCTTTATTGGGGGTGTTAGGGTAGGGAAAAATTAATTGTTGCTGGTCCATGCTCGTCGCCCACTAAGTGGGATGGGGGCGGTGAGCCTCAGTATCGTGAAGCATCAGCGTGCGTTCTTGTGTGAAACAATGGTAAAATGGAAAGTCGCTGTTTGCCATAGATGGTTCTGTGCTCGCTCTGGGCGCACTTCTCGCGCGCGGGGTGGCAAAAGCTCTCCTTGTCCCGTAAATAATGATCGAATCACAGCGCAAGAAGGATTTTCATCTAAGCACGCTGGTGCTTAACGTTGATAAATCAGTGACAAAGCAAACTTGCTCAGGCACGGCTGACAAAACTCTCGAAAAAGAAAAGAAAGGCTTGCGGCCCTGTTGGGCGCACCACAGAAATGTCTGCACTGTGATAGAAAACATGACAAAGGCTTTCAGCCTTACGTCTTCTGGTTTTTGTTTTTTGCCTTCGCTCCTGCTAACGGGCTACGAACAGGGGAGGATGAGTGTAAATGAGGATCGGGGGCGAACGAAAAAAATTTGCCCCGGATCCTCAACATTGTAACTGGGAGATTTGGGAGGGGGCAGAAGACAGGTTCTTCTACGTGTGTGTCAAATAGCTCCAAGATGGTATCATAAGTTTCTTCAACTCAAAAAAAGTCATTTCGACAGATATTGAGGTATCATGGCGCCATTGCCGAGAACCGGAGTAAACCTAGGTTTTTCATTCACGATACAAAGAAAGGTTCTCCGAGCATGGCAGTTCTGTGGGCGCGGGACTAGGGTCGAGGGGAAGCTAAAGGGAGTCTGGCAATCGGGCAACATGTTGGGACTTTGACCAGGGGCAGAGATGGACTTGAATTCTTTCATCAAGAATGAAACTACCCTGTGGTCTTGGCTCACAGGGTGTTAATGGCTGTGGATAATCCGCCAACATAAACACTGGTGGTCAGGTTCGGGAAAGTTCTGTGGAGTATGCCCCATCCAGCCAACCACCGCAGTATCTCCGCCAAGGGAATGAGATATCATACTGTGCCCAATCCAGTCCCGTCAATCAGATACAAGGGTTAGGGGAGATGCCTTCGTAGAGGGCAGGGATCACTTTGCAGGTTGACCTCAGTTCACTGTTTAACTTTATCGGGGGTATCATGCTTCTAATTATCACGGGACCGTCGTCTACCGGCACGGTATGATACTCCATCATACGGGCGAAACCTAAGTTCGAACCTCAAATACTGGGTTAAGGTATCATGAGAAAACCTGAGTCCAGGAGGGCCCCAATTCCGCAACATCGCAGGCCCGTGCCCATCAAGAAACCCTCAACACATCAAGCACCATCTCGGATTAGCGAAAGTCTATTCTTCACGAACCACGAAAACTTATCTGGAAGCCCGGCGAACCCTCGTTCTTACGTTCCACGGGTGCCCCCCACTGTACCCCCACCACATCCAATGTCTGACAAACCATTGTCGAATATAGTAACCCCCAACCCCACGGAGGTTGGTGGTGGTTAGAGGGGGGTAATATCGGGCAATCGGGGGGGCCCGAGCTCAAATGGTTATATAATATAAGGATCGTGACATCGGAGTTCAAAGAATAGGGGAGAAAAAGGAATTCAAACGCTATCTAGTGGCCGCTCCCGCAGTAAAAAAAAATAGTTTCGAGCCCTTGCTTAAATAAAAAGCATCACAACCCCCACTTCTGACATTCTGCCGTTGGTGCCGGATTGTACCCTGTAAGAGCATCGGCTCCCCCAATTACTACCCCAGCCGAAGCAATCGTCTTACTGTGGAACCCGGCTTCCGACGGCTTAGCCCCCCCAGATCTTCCGTACAACCAAGCAAACCCAATCAAGCCTCGAAATATCTGCGAGTGATAGACAGTGTCTCTGACATCCCACACCACCGCACTGTTGGGTCCCAGGGAAAGCAAGCGCATCTCGCTGCTCGGCGAACCCCTAAGTGATCCATATCCGCACTCATGAGTTGGCATAAGGAATCCTGCAGGGTGCATCTGGCTTACAACAGTTACCACTGGTACTTGCTATCGCTACCACATAGAGGAGTCTAGAGTACGCATCGCATTTGAGGCAGTAGCGACACGTCTCCACGGGCGCTCACAGTTACCCCATGGCCATTGCCAAGATCAAAGTGCTTCGGCATGGACCTATGCGCACCATACCGAGATATTTTCCATCTCCTCTGGTTTCGCAGATGGGAAAGAAGAAGATGCACGGGGCCCTATCGTGCCCGCTCCCCGAAGGCCCGGGATGCCCTACCGGACGCGCTAGAGTCGGGGGGTGCGTTTCGCACTCGAGCCACAATCGATTTCAGCAGCGAGGCGCGGACCCTCGGGCAAGTGACTGCTAACTGCGCCTAAGCAGGAATATACAGTATCATGTGATAGTTGCAAATCAAACGCATGCACAGGTATCCTACCTTAAAACCTGGAATAATTGAGAATTATCAGGTTTTAGGACATCTCCCCAAGCAACCACTTGTCGCATTTTACTTTTACTTTTTCGTTTGAGTCAGCGGAGGTCTGAAACGAAACTCTTTCTCCATCCTGGTTTTTGTCTTGTACCCCCCCTAAACCGAAGAGGGGAATTCTGGACGTCCTGGCTCGGTTCCGATATTTTCAAATGCAGCCCGCCAGATATGATACCTCGACAGATACCAAAAGGATCTGGTACTGTGGTAAGTCCCGAACCATGCGACGGATCACCTGAGCACTACTAGCGAGGAGAAGCCCAAGCGCTTGGGGGAATATTGAGAGTGGGCTCTCTAATAATTGTTCTCTGCCAGAGAGACTTCCAGGAAGGTGTACTATTTGTGATGTTAAGAACGGCAAGGCAAGTGTATAGGGGGTTGACCAAAGTCGGGTCGCTTTCGCAAAGGAGATGCAACTTTTGTATGGAGATCAAACCACATTGGAACATTTGAGTGATATCTTATGAGGACATTGTGGTGTTGGTAAAGGGTTGGGTCACTTTCGAAAGAGGACTGTGCTATGAGTGATATCCTGTGATTATAATCAACGAAGAATCAAAGTCTACAAATAAACCAAATTACAGTATTTCAATACCTCACAGCTTGCTCTCCTGCATCAAAAAAAGTGGATTGTAGGAATTAGGACATGGTTCTGATGAGGCTTTTAAGTTCACCAGAATCTACATGCCAAACTGTATTTAGAGCTGTCTCTAAAGAGTGGATATTATCAATGTATTTCTAGATTTTACCAAGCTTGTTTACCATATTGAGTTGCAGTGCTGCAATCAAATTGAGGTCTGGAGTAATAGTTATTTAACATATAGTTTTAATATTGTTTAGATCTTAATAGTATGTACCCTTGCTTTTATGACTTAGTATATTGTTTTCTATTATATAAACTTTGATGAAAGTTTCTTTTATCAGGTCTTTAATGCAGCCTCTGAGGATTGGTACACTAAAGGTACTTGACATCAGGTTTCTAGTAGTATAAATAAATTCCTCTTGATGTTAGATATATATAAGGATCCTACTACGTATATGTTAGTCCTACAACAGGTAATAACTTTACCTCAGGATATCTCAATAGTACTAAGACTCTTTGTCTTTGTTATCACTTCTGATAATGCCTATCAATATTTCTTCTTAGTGTCTACTTAATCCAATAAGTGAGACCTTTTTCTCATGTAATGTTGCAAGAGATGTTCGTATGTGGAAAAGAATACAGATTCAACTTATAGTATAGGAAAGAACTTAAGTGGTTGTGTGAGGAGTTTGTACTAGTGGTCTTTTTTTTTTTTTTTGTTATTTTTATTTTTAAAATCATGTTATTATTTGTTTAAGGTACAAGAATACCACATACAGCTCTAGCTATGGTATAAACAAAATCATTCCCACTCTGGACTAAGAGAAAACCTGTACACCCAAGATCGTCTGGTTTGGGCCCAACTGCACAAACTCCAAGGGTGATCAACTTAGGTGTCCGGTCCTTAGACCTCATGACTTGAACATGAAGTGGTCCGACCTAGAAGCCAATCACATGTCTAAGAAGATTTCTCGCCTGAAAGAAAACTCCTCACACTAATTATACATAGCTAAAGGAAACAAAACAAAACAAGCTAGGGAGGAAAGTATAAGGAAAAGCTCTAGCCATAATCAACAAAAACCACAAAAAGAAGTAACGCATGACCAGCGGTTGCCAAATGTAACGATCCCCCTTGGGAAAGTTAGTTGTTAGCAACAGGAATGATACTTCTCTTCTTCTGCTGTTTGATAGCTCTTAGCCCTATGCCTACATTACTGATAGTACAAGACCAATGTCTTCTATCTGTAATGCCTATCGTAAGCTTTCTCTAACTCTTCTTTTTATAAAGTCTTTTCGTCATAATAATAATAAAGGTGGTAATAATAAAGAGCATAAAGATGGTTTATATTCGTAATGACATAAGTAATAAGTAGGAAAAGTACTTAGAATTGAATCTAATTTTATTTAAAATCGTACCGTCAATACTGGTATATGGTGAGCCATAGGACCGGGCCCACAGATTACTACAACCCAGATACCACTAACTACAAACTAATTAAACATCTGATCTCTTACCTCAAACATGCCCATGCCATATCCCAACATGAACACTAAATATAAAACCAGCACTGGTAAAGCAAATTATTAGGTGGAGACAACTCAATAGACCTCAGAACTGTTTAGGCTAATCAAGATTTGTCTCAGTAGTTAGAGATTGTCTAGGAAGGCTTGGATTACACTCATTTCATTTATGACTACTAGGAGCAAAGTAAAGTAGGTAAAGTAGAATAGAATTGCAAGAACAATATTATATTAGTAAGGTCTATTCTCAATTACTTAATGATGTCTAAAAGGTTAGGAGGCACTTCAATATTTATATTCTGCATCTGAGTATTTAAGGACTACA